ATGTATGTTTTATTTACGTTTACAAAGTTTACAAAATTATAAATAATCTAAACACTAAGTCTTAATATAAATTAAAGAAACAAATAGCTGACTTAACATAATCAGTAATTTCTACTGTTATTTCCGGACAGTACCAGCTGTCGTTTTCCATCGGAACTCCTAAAGGAACTCGCCCATCATCGCGTCCCAAGTTTCGTGATAAAAATGTTTGAAAAACAAAGATGTAGAGTTGCTGGATGTTTTTGTTATTTGCTCGTTTTAAAACGTTGCCACACATTCGAATTTTTACCTGTGTCGTGGATGCGTTTAGTATCACACAATTTCAAATAAATATCACAACAAAAAATTGTGGATCATACAAAGCTGAGTACATACGTACGGTAATCTTACCCGCGACACGTTTTGTGGCGGCCAATTGCCCAGTCAACGCGCCAACCCTTGGCGAAAGTAGTTTATTTAACTCGATATGAAAAAAATTAAGACAACTTTGTTATTTTTATTTACGTAAAACGAGATTAATTTAAAACAAATAGACACCTGTTTTTATTACATTATAACGAATTTAATTGGAAATTAAAAGTATTATTTATTTTATTATGAAAGACGGCCAAAGAAAGGATGAGCTCAAAAAGAGTGCCTATGCGTATTTATTACAGACATAGGTACTGCACAACAATATTTTGTAAAACAACATTCCCTGTTTAATTATTCTTTAAAATTGATTATCTGTTTATATTTTATAATTTTTAACTCGGAATAAATACACAAAAAAACAATTTTGACTGCACGGTTGGCGCAGTGGCTGGGCAACTGGCTGCTGTGCAACGTGTTGCGGGTTCGATTCCCGCACGGAACAACACTTTGTGTGATCCACAAATTGCTGTTTCCGGTCTGGGTGTGTTGTGTATTTGTATGTTTGTAAACGCACCCACGACACAGGAGAAAATCCTAGAGTGGGGCAGTTTTTTTTTTGAAAAAACACCCAAAAAATATATTCTTTTACGTGCCCAATCTAGTACAGCGAGATCTTCAATCAGAAAAACTTCTTATTCGAATGGATTTGAAAATCGTAACCAGGTGGACAGTACGACGGGCGGTCTGTTCGTTTCTACCTCAAAAACAAGATCTCATTTCCATATTTAAAATTAATTGTTCAAACTAAAGGAGCATTTCATTTTGGTACCAAAAGATTTTAGGGTTGGAATAGCAATGAAGTGGAGAGTAGGGTTGCCAGGGTTTTTTATAATGTAGGGTATTTACTATTTAACTTTTTTTTTTAAATAAAGTAATGGTTAAGGATTAACTGATAATGAGGGTTCATTATTAATGTGTATTTTTTAATATATTGTAATTGTTTATTTATATACATTATTTTATTTATTTAATCGATCTTTCATTGAAGAGCAGCCAAGTCTCCAAAAATGTTTTATATGACTAATATTAATTGTTGATAAGGAACGGAATGGTTTTCAGTCAGTAAGAGTCTGACCCTCTGAGGTTGGGAACCCTGAGCGACAGAATAATGGGATTCGATGATTTTCCCCTTTAAAAGAATTATATTAATAGAGTGCATATAAGGATAATATTGCCGGTTGATACCCATTTTACTAATATTCTCCTTCTTCGTATTCAGCCCCTGGTACGCCTTCCAAAACTCCGCGACCCTGCGGTCCCGTAAATGGAAACAAATATACAAAATGGGAATAATATCACTGTCCTAATAATTTGTAAATGTGGGTCACCCTACTAGTCACCAGCTGTTACAAGTCATTGTCTGATCAAAATTAATTATGTAAATTCATCTCGTTATTAAATCAACATGTTTCGATAGCAAACAACTAACTAGGTAATTGGCAAATGGACACGTGACGTTTACCAATGCCAAGCAAGACTAGGTACTTCAATTGAATTAGTAAATACAAAGTACTTTAAAAATGGTATAATTTTATTAAATACTTTCTAGTTTTTGCCCGCGACTCCGTTCGCGTGGAATAGTGACTTCTTGCAGATTTTTGGTGTAAATATCGTATGCCCTTTCTCGACTTCCAAACTATGTCTTTACCAAATTTCACAGAAAACGGTTCAGTTGTTTAGGTGTGAAGAAAAGACAGACAGACAGACATTTAGATTTGTTCGTTTCCTTTCACGGGATCACAGGATCCCGGACCTTTGGAAGGCGTACGAGAAGCCGAAGCTAACTCGCAGAGGCCCGTTGAACAATTTTAATATAAATGTGATGGGACATCAGCCGGCAATTATCCCTGTATGCACTATAAAAGTGCACCCAAGGACAATACCCGGTTGATGCAGGACTATTGTGAAATGTGGTAAAAATGTATAGGGTTATGGGTATGGGCTGCTACGCACTAGTGGATGAAAACTATGGAAATAATAATATATGGAAATATATATTATTATAGTATTATTGCATTTATGATATGAGTTTGGATAGTACTAATTAATACATATATAATTATGCATCCGCGTTAAAAAGCTCGTTTCGTGATGGTTTGAAGGTCGCATCGACTCGAAAATAGCGGTTGCGAAACATTCATTCATCCCCATCATATAATATCATCATCATGTAGATGGTTGGCAGTCAACAACTGTGCCATTTACTCGAAACTTTATGCCCCGCACAGCAAAACTTTGGAATAATCTTTCGGAGATATTTTCGAACCGATACATGTACAATGTACAATTACGCCAAATATATATATGTCACCGGAAAATAAATAAATACGAACTTTAAACCTTCAAGAAACATGCGTACTCCTTCTTAAAGGAACGGTAACGCGCCTGTGACCGTGTGCGCCGCAAGTGTCGACCGGCTCGTCGAGCTCAGATCACTTACCATCAAGTGATTAGTAAGCTCGTTTACCTCTTAATCCATAAAAAAATAAGTGTGGGAGAGCCATACTTCGGCACGAATGGGTCGGCTCGACCGGAGTCATACCACAGCTTCAAAGAAAAGTGCGTGAAACAATCACAGCATTGTGTTACCTACCGGAGGCCCAATCCTTCCCCTCTCTCAATCCCAACATCTCCAAATCCCTAATCCTCAAAAGGTCGGCAACACGTCTGTGACTCACTGCAGATCACTTACCATCAGTTGATCCGTCTGCTAGTTTGCCTCCTATTCAATAAAAATAAATCATGAACACAATTCTTCATTTTAATTCCTACCTCTACAATATAGTTTCAAATGAGAAAAGAATTCCAATCAAAGGCACAAAAGTCGGGAGACTAAAATATTTAAAATGATTAAAACTTTTCAACTCAATGAATCGCAAATTATACAATCAATGGATTCCGATCGGGATGGCGTTCAGCGAATTTTAATTTAAAGCCTTGTGTCCATTGTGGTAAGTTTAAATTTTGAATAGATGTTCTCCGTGTGATATTTCAGGTATCCGATTACGAAGCTTTAGTTTTGCTTTCGATAAGAATAATTGCTATTTCTACGAATTCTGAAAATAGACCTTATTACTCCTCATTATAGATTCAGAAATTGAAAAATTTATACTTCTTGGATTTTAAAATTCATAAATATACACTTTTGTAGTTCATAAAAGCAAAAGTCAAGTAAGTCAAAGCCGTTTGAGGCTAATTTTTTTTTCTGTTTAAGGACGGTCAAGCGAATTATAATCCGTCTACCATAAGTTACCGCTAAGCAATTCGGGTCGTCCATGGGCACCCACCAAAAGTTAATTTATTATGTAGTTTACATTTTTAGAAACATATTTTTTCGGTTTTTTAAGAACATACCCGATTTCTAGTAGTGGTTTATAAAATTTTTAGTTCTTATAAGTCTAATAATTAATTTTATATAAGTAATTTTATTCTATTAAAATTATGGAAAAGCCAAGTTTTTGCACGAATGTGCCGGCTCAACCGGAGTGGTGACGACCTCACAGGAAACCGGCGTGAAACAACCACAGCGTTGTGTTTAGCCGATGTCTAGCCTTTTCCCTCCCCTCCCCCAACTCTTGAATCCACAAAGCCCCTTACCCACTAGCGTCTGGTGTTGTGAGTGTCCATGGGCGATGCTGATTGCTTATCATCAGGTATTTGATTGGGTCGTTTACTAAATTACAAATGCGTTGATAAAGTAAAATGATTCAAGATCGTTCAGAAAAAAAAATATCTGTAAAGACGGTGTACACGGACCTCTAAATTTTAAAGTTAATAACTCTAGCTGATCTTAATATTTACTGGTCAGCAGACTTAGCAGTATTAATCAAACTGAGTGCTTAACTTCAAGAAGTTCAATCTATAGTAAAATGCATTTTGGTTTTCATTGATTGAAAATAACGACTTAATAAGGCAAGTCGGTATTATACTAACGTAACAAGAGTCCCGTTGTGAAAACTAGTAGAGTTTTTCTCAGTTGATTCACGGGAAAAAGGTGTTATTTTCTCAGTTGATACACAGTGAAATGGTGTTATTTTCTCAGTTGACACACGGGAATAACATGTTAATTTCTCAGTTGACACACGGGAATAACAAGTTATTTTCTTAGTTGAAACACGGGAGTAAGAGGTTATTTTCTTAGTTGATACACGGGAATAAGGTATTACTTTCACTAAATGTAGTATGTATCACGACCGAATAAATACGTTTGATACAAAATTAATCAACATCCTTTATCAGATAAAAAAATGTAGATAATAATATAGACATACATAGTTTTGTATGACTGCACGATTTTCGCGATGGACAACTAGCTGCCGTGTTACGTATAGCGGGTGATTCCAGCAAGAAAGATCCACAAATTTGATTTGCGCTCTACAAATTGTTGTTGCATGTCTGTGTATGATGGATACATAATACTACGTGGCACTCACGATACAGAAGAAATTTAATTACAAGTCATAGGTATACCGACCTTTCATATAAATGTACTGCTGTGCTTTATTTGAATATTTTTGTAAAATAAATATTGACTAAGTAAAAGAAACAAAACTAAGAAACTACAAATAAAAAACAAGCCGTCATAGAAAATACTTTATTTTAATCTACTTAAGGTTTATTTTATATCAGCTAACTAAAGTAAGTCTTTTGTCCAGATGAGGTACGATGGGTGACGCTTTCCTGACGTACTTTTCTAGAATGTCCCTGTCAACTCCTAACACAGTCATATTACGACCGTGTTCTTTGAACATCTGGAACGAAAGAGCTTGAGGTTAGTACCAAAGTGCTGCGGGGCTTACGGATGCAAGCGCAATAATATACCGCGGCCTCGGGCCAGAGCTGGAGAAGAAACTGGATGATTTTTGTGGGTAAAAGTATGACACTCTCTCTCATTTAGGAATGGATAGGCTCTGGGTGAGAGAGAAAGATAGTGTCATTTGACGATTAACCGCCTCAAAATAACCTTCTTTTTTTAAAGAAATTTGCAAAAGTCTCATCTTTTAAAGGTAATGTGTTATTTTATCAGTCTCATTATAATAGGTATTCCAGTAAACGCCATTAATAATTTCTGACTTAATCAATTTTTTGCGAGTATAAAAGAAGAATCTCTAAAAACTTTCTAAACCATCTAGAAGTTGACACATCCTGCACGGCATTTGCACCAGTAAATACTTCAGTGAAGTTATAAAAGAAACATCTTCAGCTATAAAAAAAGTAACGGGACAGAAATGGAACCATCTTCAAAATAATCTTCTACCTAAAAAAAGAAATACATATATGAGAAATTGAAGCTTACCGCAAAACCATTTCCTCCTCTGGTCAAAAAGTCCAGGGTTGTGACCTGGTAGTCTCTGTTCACATCAAACTCCTCATAGTGGTCTCCCACCTTGAAGAGAATCTCCAACACTTCATGTGACGTCGTGTTGATGGTTGCTTTCACTCCTTCGAAAAGAAAATATCATTTTTTTCAGTTTTCCTTTTTTTTCTGTAAATAGTTCATTACGATCCTTAAAAACGAGGGAGTTTTTTTATGTACGAATCTAAAAACTGGTATTTCAGGAATTTAGGTTTTGGAGATTTTGGAATTGGTGAGGGGAAGGGTTGGAACTCTGGTAACCTAACACGGTGAAACTTAACACTGGGGTAGTTTAGTCAGGTCACACGACCAATTCTTCCCGAAACATGGCTCTCCGACACTCAAAACTCCTAACATTTGCATTTTAAAAGCAAATCGTAATAATTATTTTTTTATGGTTTCCGTTCAGAAGAATAAGGGATGTGATCCACTATTATTGGAATATCTCAGCTGAAGTATCACTTACCAGAAAAATGTGGTGTGTACGGCCCGGTATACGGGTTTGATCTCCAAGGGAACATGACTGATCGTTCCATAGCTTCCACAATATGTACACCAGAGACGACAAAAGTCACCAGTCTATTCGTAAACGGTGACATATTTATTATAGAGCCCTTTGTTATATCTGGAAACGAAAAGGAATAAACAATTAAATAAATCTTTCGTAAGAAAAAAATTCAAGGAATGTAAGAAAAAAGTAACATTGAGAAAATAAATGAAGCACATTAAATATAAGTTCAGCTATCACAGCAGCCAAAGTCAGTCAGTAAGAGTCTGACACTCCGTCTCATCCCGCCTCGAGCGAGAGGCGTCATTGGCTGATACCCTCTCAAAAAACCAAACGCTATCACTACTAATTATTCTTGTAGAACAAACAATGTCATAAATAGAAGTCTGTTTTAACAAAGATCACCGGATAAGTAATATCGGAAAAAATCAACATAGAAATTACATTTTATTAAAAGAAGAATGGTCTACTCATATAAGAATACAGGCGAAGACGCATAAAAATTAAGTAGGCACATATAACTTACAAGCCATTTCTTCAAAAATATTGGTGTTAATAAATAAAATACTCACACACCTCCTTTTTGTAAAGAACTGCGCATCATTGATCTTTGAAGGAAGGAAATAGATGGTAGCGTTGTTGGGTGTAAATCATGTGACTGGAAAAGAACAAAATATGAAATTGTTTTAATTAATCTAATGACAGTATTCAAAGTCTTTTAAAAGTTACTTAGATCAGTTTCAACGCAATAGTTCTTAAGGATTAACCTAAGTAAAGTAATCACTAAATATTCTGTGTACGATAATGTAATTAGGAAAGAATTCAAAATTCAAACCACAAAAAACTAAGCTATCTCTCAATTTTAAAAATATCTAAAAGGGATCTATGGTCATCATAAATGAATAGCATAAACTAGTGCGCCTTACCATCAACAATTGCATCACTGCTTACCATCAGGTAGGATCGCAGTCAAGCACTAGTTTATAGCAAGTAAAAAAAGACATCATAATAATATCATAAAGTGACCATCATAGGAGAATCTGTTATGACACCCCAGTAAAATAATAAAAAATAATCTGCCTTATTTCCAGAACTGCCAAAAATATCTGCAGCATTTGATCATTCAACCACTTCTTTGCATTATAAATTTTTATCTTATCATCTTTATTTTTAATAAAGTAATCTAAAATGTACTCACGATATTCAAAAATGCTTCTGCAAAGAAGTTTCCAAGAGCACACTCCTGGTAAGCACAAGTGTCCATCTCCATATCATCTGCAGCAAACCCAACAACTTCATTCACGATTTGGTGGAGCTCTTCCTTATAAGGCTGGAGAAGAGCTTTGATTTCGGGATCTGGGGACAAAGTGCAATTTCAATAGGATTTTTTAAGTAATTGAAACCATAAAATTCTAATAATTGATTGAAAAATTTATAAAATTATTAACATGATTGATAAGTTATATCCTTGAAGTCGACCACCAAGAATTCGAGTCAAATATATCAAATAATTCATACCTTCGGGAATAGACCGGTTTAAGAAGACGGGTGATCCTTCAAAAGACCGCAGTTCTCCTGATTTGTCGAAGTATGCCGTCATGTTGCCAAGGTACTTGGTGTAAGCTGATGCTGTAACCACTAAAACCTAGAATAAAAAGGGATTTTAATAAGTTTTTAATAAAAATAACATTGTGATTGATACTCAAGAAGTCAATTAATTGTGTAGCGGATACCATTACCACACTTTTAACAATTTTGATTGATTCTTTATTCATAGTAATTAACAACTAGCAGCCCACCCCCGCTTCGCGCGGGTTCAGCTATTTCGCTAACAATAAAAGGGTCCCTTTTCCCCAATTTTCCCCTGTACTTTTCTATTATTTTATTTCATAAGAACCTTCTGTTGACAATAATAAATACAAAACAAAAGGATTTGTCAAAATTGGTCCTGGCATTTTTGAGTTATACGCTTACCATCACATTTTGCGATTCATTTTTATATTATAGATTTCCACTAAATTTTATAATATGATATTAACCTAACAGGCTCGCTCTCGTGTGCCTAGTTTTGCATAAAATTGCTATTACTTTATTGATAAATTACTCTCAAACGGCGATTCACAAAGTTTTGGTTGTGGCGGTTGCACGCCAGTTTTCTGGAATCCATATGTCACACCGGTGAAGGCAGCAGATTAATTTCAAGGATGGCTCTCACAATCACAAATTCTAAGTACGAAATGATTTGAACGACGCAGTCATTATGCAAAACTGCAGTAATACAATCTCCTTATCATTTATTTTAAGATGGATCACGAACTTTGACATAACCTCAAAGTCACACCGAAAAGTATAACGAATTTGTTTTTATAAAACAGTGCACAAAATTCATATTCAATTTGAAGCCACGAGCGTCGTGCGTAGATTGAAAAAATATGTAAACACTATCTATCCGTCGTATGTTGACGGCAAAGTAAAATCCATTCTATTTTTTTAAGTTGTCCCACACTAGGTTTTACTCCTGTGTCGTGGGTAACAACGTCGTTTCTCCTGTGTCATGGGTGCGTTTACAAACATACAATTACACATTCACATCACACCCAGACACGGAACAACTATTTATGGATCACACAAAGAGTTATAATAAGTAATCTTTGGAACCGCTGGTAGGATAGATACTCTTTCACTGATAGATAGCTACAATGTTCCTTAGTGCTATAACCTATAAAACATCACGCTACGATCAAATGGAGCCGAGGAGCGGGTGAAACCGCGCGAGAGTAGCTAGTAGTCTATAAGGATCTGCGTATCCACATCTCGATCCACAGCAGGAGTAGTCAATGAATGATTTTCCCACCATAAGTGCTTTTTTTAAAAAAACTAACCTGATGTCCAGGCTTAGCTTCACTCTCCAGCATAATTGGGTAGGGTCCTGATACAGTTTCCTTGCTCGGCGCCTCCCCGTTCCAGAGCAGACTGTGAGAATGACCTCCAACTATAATGTCTATGTTCTCTCCAACCTTTTTCGCCATTTGTCTGAAAAAAAAGGATTGTTCTTATTTCAAATCTAATATTAAGGAAGCGGCATATTATGTTGAAAAAGCGCGGTAAAATAAAAGTACATAGGTAATTATTTTTTGTTAAAAAAAAGGAAATTTACATTTTTAGGAAATGTAAATTTCCTTTTTTTATATTTCTTTATTTTTATACTTCTTATATTTTATTATTCTTAAGTTGCCAATTTATTACTTTGCCTGATAGTCTTTTTGAAACAAAATATCGAGGAACACACATTTGGCAATGTTTAAATTAAGAATATAAATTAGTTTTTTTTTCAAGTTAATGCTACCAAAAGTCCTTTGGAAGGAAACATGAAGGTGCTAATTGCATCATTACGCGCTACAATAAAATACATAGGTACAATAAAAATAAAAATTTTTGTTACTTTTTTTTAGCGAAAATGTTCTTTGCAGGTTATTTTATTCATTTATAGCGCAATGTACATTTGAACTGAACTAGGTTAATTCTTAACTATCTATCTAAGTACTGATGATTGAGTGGTCACATCACCGGAATCACTCCGGTCGTGCCGGCCCATTCATACCGAAGCATGACTGCCACAATTCTTTCTTTATACTTTGACTCTTTATAGTCTAGTCATCTTTTTAACATCTATGGAAAAACAACCGGTGGTTTCAAAATGCATTATAATTTACTATTACCACATCACTAAAAGAGGTTAAAGCTACCACTTCCTTATTTCACACTACTGTTAGCGCCTCATTAACCTAGAAAAGGCTTGCTAATTTTAATATTTTCCCGTCTATTTTTCTGTCATAAAAACCATCTCTCCTGACAATTACAAACACAAGAAAAAAGAATTGGCACAAAATTATTGCAAGCATTGTTGATTAATGGGCTTACCAGCATATTTTGAGATTAATTTATATTTATATACTAGCGTCCTGCTCCTTCTTCGCATGGGTTTAGAACTATCTCGCTAACGACGAAAGGGTCCCTATTTCCCAGATATCCCCTTTACTGACAACTGGCTTCATGCACGGTACAACTCTATATATAATACTAATATATACTAATATATTAATTTGCGTCCATCGCATTTATTATCAATTTTATTATTATTGTAAACTTAACTTAATAGAACTTATAGTAAGTCCTATTGACTTACTATAGGTTCTATTAAGTTAGTTTTTGAAATCTGATCCAACAGACAAACTGTGTATACAGTTTTGTTGGACATTTTATACTTTTTATAATGTAAATTGTACCTGTTAAGCAATAATAAATAATAATAATAACTCTATATGTGATCACCAAATTGTTGTTTCTGGTCTGGATTTATAAATTCACCAACGTAACAATAACAATTTAAATATACCTTCTACATATTACATTACATATAAAATAATATACCTACAAAAAGTAGCATCGGGGTTGATACAGACAATAAAAAGGCAATCGACAAGATCCTGATAGATATTAACATAATCGTCATATATGTATTTTTATCTCCTGAAAAGAATAATAACATTTCCAATCTTCATCTTTCCCCTAACAAATTCTTTCTACACCAAAAACCGATTAAAGGGAAATCCCAATTCATACAATGCATCAGGATTTAACTCAAGACTCTATTTTATCAACTTAGAAACGATTTAAATGCAAAGATAGGAGCTATCAACTATATTTTCCAATAAAATTGTCACCGGATAGATGAAGTATTGGTAGCAAAATTTATGCTGATAAAATGTCCCTTGTAAATCTTGGAAGTACGGGTAAAATAATGTAAGGCGATGGTTATAACGTGGATGATTTTAATGGTGTTTTTCATAACGTTTATTGTGGTTTGACTTGATGTTTGAAGAGATAAACTGGTTATATTTTTATGTGTTTAAAAGCAAACGAGCTTACGGATTACCTGATGACCACTGAGGAGCTACGAGTTGCCTTTACTGACCTTTTGGTGTTAAGGGTTTGGGTAATTTGGGGATTGGGGAAGAATTAGAGAAAGGAGGGATTGGTGGTCCGGTAGTTATTCTAATCTAAGTACGTATAAAATATAAATTAAATACACGTATCAGTGAGAAAAAAAAAAACATTTTTATTTCAAAGAGTAATGATGGAGTTTGTTGCTCGTTCTTCACCACACTAATCTTCATTTTGGAACCCTTGCTTGACAAACCAATATACTGACGGGATCAATATTTCAAAGGTGCAGTTTTGTAGGAATAATTAAAACAAATGCTTTTACTTGTGTTTGACCTAAAGATTTGACCTGATTAGGCTTTATCAGATTTGAGCTATAAAGCTACAGATAAAGAGTTGATAGCTTTTAATTAGTTCAGTGATATATGAAATTTTATTTATTATTTCAAACATTTAAGTATTACGAAATTTGCTGATACGGCGGCAGGTGCATTGCTTTTTACTCAATCGAGAAACTTAGGGATTATTATTAAAACTCTATAATGTAGTCTTAGTTACACTAATTGTTACTCAACAACAGCTGATCCGATTTAGTTTGGGAAATGATGGGGATGTTGTTTATAACCAGAATAAAAAGTAAATTAAAAATTAAAAAAAAACCCCCGACGTAAATTAAAAATTAAAAAAAACCAAATGTTATCCATAAAGCGCCATTTTGTAGAGGCAGCCATCTTGAATTTTAAATTTTTCATACCTAATAGTATTTCACTAGTCAAGCCCTTTCATTTGATACCCATATTGATCAAGTTGTAATAAAAAAATGTAAAGCACCATTTTGTAGAAGCAGCCATCTTGTATTTTAAATTTGTCATATCTAATAGTATTCTACTAGCCAAGCCCTTTCATTTGATGCCCATATTGATGGAGTTTAAAAAAAATATCTAATCTGTCATTTTGTGGCGGCGGCCATCTTGGAACAATTTTCATCAAACTCACGTAAAAACACTCTCGACATTTTCTACTGTCAAACAAAAAAAACTAAATCAAAATCGGTCCATCCGTTCGGCGGCTAGAGTGGTACAGACAGACACACACACACACACACAGAGACACGTCAAACTTATAACACCCCGTCGTTTTTGCGTCGGGGGTTAAAAAGAACATAAAACTGTTAGGTAGGGTAGGTAGGGCAGGTAGGGTAGGTAGGGTCGGTAGGGTAGGTAGGATAGGTAGGGTAGGTAGGGTAGGTAGGGTAGGTAGGGTAGGTAGGGTAGGTAGGGTAGGTAGGGTAGGTAGGGCAGGTAGGGTAAGTAGGGTAAGTAGGGTAGGTAGGGTAGGTAGGGTAGGTAGGGTAGGTAGGGTAGGTAGGGTAGGTAGGGTAGGTAGGGTAGGTAGGGCAGGTAGGGTAAGTAGGGTAAGTAGGGTAGGTAGGGTAGGTAGGGTAGGTAGGGTAGGTAGGGTAGGTAGGGTAGGTAGGGTAGGTAGGGTAGGTAGGGCAGATAGTGTTGGTAGTTAAATAGTCGGGAGCGAAGTCGCGAATAAAAGCTGTAAATCCTTACTTGTCAACTTCCAATCCACAGTGAGATAGAACGATGATAATATCTACTCCTTGGTCTGTCAGTAACTGCGCTTCTTTTTGTACCACGGGGATCGGCTCCAAAAATGTCACCCCGTCTGCGTTGGATAAGAGCTGAAAGCAACAAAATTAGAAATTACTTTAAATGCTCAATATTAATTCACAATGAGTTGGAAATATGGTCTTATAGAAATAACATCATTATGAAATATTAAAGTTGTAGTTTGTTTATGTAGAATTATTTTTGAATGACAACCTTCTCACAATAAATTATCTTTTAGTTGATTGTGACTTGCCGCTTTACATGCTTGACTAGGAAAATCGTAATTCTTAACCTTCCTCAAAAACATATTATCTATTGGCAAATAATACTAGAAGCCGTACCAATCGATCAAGCCGTTTTTAATTTGCGAAAAAAAACTTTTTCATAATACCTACTATCAAAAAAATATCTTCTGAAGAAAATATCTTATAAAACTGCATGTAAGAACAGTATCGATCCCCATCATAAGGACCTTCTTATTAAGTTATTAACGATGAAGAAGATCTAAGAAGATTTTTACAAAGCTAAAAAAGGGTCACCAACCTCCGTAGATTTAGTTATAAGACCAATGATGCCGATCTTCCGTCCCTTTCTCTTCACCACCACATGGGGCTGATAGTAGCCATTTAATCCTGTCTCGTTGCTGCTGATGAGGTTGGCCGCGAGTACTGGTGCCTTCATCGCTTTGATGTACGGTAACAACCCTGGTATACCATCGTCGAATTCATGGTTGCCTAGTGCCTTGAAGAAAAAGAAAGGTGTCAGGTAAAAATATTTATAGCTAAGCCAACGCAACTTTACGATTTAAAATCAAAAGATTTTTTTTATTGTAATGTTTTCTACAAATGTCATGGTGGACTAGAAGTTATGGCGCCCGTTTCTTATGCTTGAGGGTGCAGGTCAGCATAGTACGGAAATAAAGACTTTTTTTGAGATAAATGATTTAACAGGTCAAGGGCAAAATCATCAAACCTGGACTTATAACTGGATAGTTTCTATTTATAAGTTTGAAATCGCGAATCCTTCTTGAGGAAGCGTGGTGATTAATGCTCAAACCTTTCTCAGTGTGAGAAGATACCTTTGCTCAGCAGTGGGGCACTTATAGGCTGATGATGTGATGTGTAATGTGTAATAAATAATAAAAAACATGTTATTAGTTACTTCTTCCGGGATTCAACCCCAGATTCAGTGCATAACAGTTGCTTACATATGTAAATACAGTTAAAACTTTTATCAAATTTCGCCAATAAATTACAGAAAACTGTAACTTACATGAGCATCATTGGGTAGCATATTAATGAACCTCTGGGTAATATTCCATTTCAGCAGGGTATACCAGTAGGTCCCCTGGAAAGTGTCTCCAGCGTTCAGAAGTAAGGCCCCTGGGCGTTCCTTCAGTAGAGTCTGGATTTCCTGGTAGAGGCGAGCAAATCCACCGAGACAGGTGCTGTCGTTGGATGAGCATGTTGGGTAGACGACTGATGTCTCCTCAAATCTGGAAAAAAATGTTTTGTAGTGAGACAAGGTTGTTTAAAAAATCAACACATGTGTACATCTGTTAAAGATAGGATACATACAAGAACTCTGTCTCAGTCATAAAATTAAGAAAATGTATTTTATGTACACTGTTGATGTACATTATTGAATAAAAAAAATAACATACATATGTATAAGTAGTTCCGTTAAAATAATTTCAAAAATGTATCGTGATTTTTTGGTTTTGATTAATTTAGGGCTGATTTTCCAATGGTTAGATATAAGTTATCTGGTGAATAATTATGATGCTGTAGCGTCAAAATGTTCTACTAGTTTTGAGTAGGCTGCGTGACATCGCTGCCAGCGTCCGCGCACGCTGCTCATGATGAAGATCCCCTCTGGGGTTCGAAACTAGTAGAGCTTTTCTCAATATTATACACGTGAGTAACCCGCGATTTTAGTCAAAATATGCCTCTACTAACACATTTTTTATAAAAAATACAAAATTAATAAAAATTTCAAGGCTCTCAAAAGCTCTGGTTTGGAAAATAAAAGGTGCGCTATGCTGTGTTATATTCTCTCAGAGTAGGTACTAGAAAATGTGTATTGATACCAGTATGTATCACACACATTCAAATACGTCGTGTTGACGTCACATTACAATTCAAATGAGCTGAAGGTTTTCTATAGAAAAAGTCAATACAAATTGACAATAGCACACAAAACCAATTGTGTTTGCATTGTATTCAAGTATATTGAAGAGCAGATTTCAACATTTGAGTTTTATGTGTGGGAGAGCAATACTTCGGTAGGAATGGGCCGGCTCAACTGACTAGTATCACGGACTCACAGAAAAATGGCATGAAACAACCATAGCCTTCCACTTCCCCAATACCTAATCCTTAAATCATATCATATTTGTTAGTTGGCGCGGTGGCTGGGCAACTGGCTGCCGCGCAACGTGTCGCGGGTTCGATTCCCGCACGGAACAACTCTTTGTGTGATCCACAGATTGTTGTTCCGGGTCTGGGTGTCACGTGTATGTAAAATTGTATGTTTGTAACCGCACCCACGACACAGGAGGAAATCCTAGTGTGGGGTTCAAATCCCAACGTTTTCTTTTTTTTTTAAAAAAATATCATACTTTCCCTTTTGTTTTGGCTGTCCATTGAAGCGCTAATCACTTTATACACAAATTGTTGTTTCGGGTCTGGGTGGTTTGTGAGCGTAAATTTGTATGTTTGGTTTTTCTCCTATGTCTCATCTGTACTAATATTATAAAGAGGGAAAATTTGTAAGTTTGTATGTAAGGGATAATATTTGGAACCGCTCGCTGGTCGGATTGCCAATATTATTTCACTGAGAGATAGCTACAATGTTCCTGAGTGCTATATATAGGCTATAAAACATCACGCTACGATCAAATGCAAAGCGCGCGAGAATAGCTAGTGTGTAAATAGTTCTTAAGTGACATGAAACACCACGATGCACAAGTACAAGACTATGTCTCCATCTTTACCTATATTGGTTTATATTTAACTTCCACCGATGCATCATAGATTATGAGCACTGACTGACTGATTTAACTACTTGTAGGTAGGTATACCAAAATAAATGAATAACAGGTAATTCCTAAATATGTATATTATAGTTATTATTTTTCGAAACAATAAGATAAACGTATATTATTGAAATTTTAAATTATTATTATTTATCCTCTTGTCTAACAAATTTGTATAACTGCACGGTTGGTGCGGTGGCTGGGCAACTATGGCTGCCATGCAACGTGTCGCGGGTTCGGTTCCCGCACGGAACAACTCCTTGTGTGATCCACAAATTTTTGTTCCGGGTCTGGGTGTCTTGTGTATGTGAAATTGTATGTTTGTAACAGCACCCACGACACAGGAGAAAAACTCTAATGTGGGGCAACGTTTAAAAAAAATTGTTTGTCTTATCCATATACAATTGCAGACTATTCTATCAGTTTCTTTGTCAAAGACTAATAAATATACATACTTACGTTGTTAGTTCATCACAAAATAGCGAAGTAGTACAGTCAGGGGTCAAAAATGCGATTACACTCTACCAATTTTAAAATGACTAAAATTTCTTTGTAGTAAAAGTTCAATGGTTTACAGCCAGTTTATTCAATAATTTAGATTTTTTTTAATAGGTACAGTAACAGACAGTAAACCAAAAATTACAAAGTTGAATACTACACAACATTAATAACTGTACACAACATTTCAAAAAAAAATACAATTTGCTTCATAACATGGAGAGTTACTGATACAAATTACGTTTTCCAATTGTGCCGACACAGAAAATCCTTAAAGACATTAAAACTTGTGTGACATAATATCAGTTTGAGAGCATACGTTAATATCATGTGTCCCCTAGATGGAGCAGAGGGCGTCCACTGAAGTTCTCCATCGCGATCTGTCTTGAGCTTCACGCTTCACCTCACTCCACGTCATACCGATGCTCGTCGCTACTGCCAGTACGGTGCGACGCCAGGTTTGCCGTGGACGGCCACGCTTTCTTTTCCCTTGGGGATTCCAATCCAAGGCTTGCTTGGGTATGTGGCCAGGACCCCTTCGGAGCCCCTTGAGAGCATATGGAGTTATATTCACTTCATTCAGTTTATGCTATAAATTAAAGTAGTCCCCAACCATTGACTCTATTCTATAAAGATATTTTGGTCATTTTAAAATAAGTGTAAAGTGCAATTGCATTTTTGACCCCTGACTGTACTTAAGTAAAGCACTAACCACCGCACTCAGAGTTTTCACACTAATTAACCTAGTGTGGGTGCAAGCGCTATAATGCACCGCAGTTCCTTCTTAGAGCAAGAGAAGGAATGGGGTTATATTTTAGTATATGTATAAGGGTCAGACACTCCCTATCGCGAGAGAAGTCATTTGTTAATTTCAGAACCAAATCCCTCTGCCCACGTATCCTCAAAAGGCCGGCAACGCACTCGTAACTTCTTTGGTGTTACGGCTGTCAATGGGCGGCGCCGATTGCTTACCATCAGGTAATCCGTCAGCTCGTTTGCCAACTTATACCATAAAAAAATACAAAATCGATACTTCTCTGTAGTTTCCGTTCAACGCCTGAATTCTTGTACCTACTAAAAGGATCTATAGAGGACTATGAAATGCAATCAGATCAGAGCCGGACCGCGGTGTACCTGTGGTATAAATGTGGGAGAGCCAAGCTTCGGTACGAATGTGTCCGCTCGACCGGAGTGATACCACGGCCTTACAGAATACCGGTGTGAAACAACCTCAGCGTTGTGTTTCGCCGTGTGAGTGAGGTTACCGGAACCCGCCCCTTCCCCTATCCCTTTCCGATCCTTATATCCGCAACCCCTATCCCCAAAAGGCCGGCAACGCACTCGTAACTCCCTTGGTGTTGCGGGTGTCCATGGGTAGCGCCGATTGCTTACCATCAGGTAATCGGTCAGCTCGTTTGCCGACTTATTTCATAAAAAAATACCTTTGCGTTTTGCCCGTAACCTCAACCAACTTTATATTTTGGCTTCCATCTCATCGATGAACTGACTAGCTAATAAATAAAAAAAAAGTTATTTTCTAAATATGATTATTGCTTTTCGATACAACATGAGGCACTTATAATATTATTAGAATTTCAATTTTATCCTCTTGCCTTGAAAATTGTAAATCTGGTCACGCACCTATGTTTTCCTGTAATTTATTTTTAGCTCATCATCATACGCGTGATTAGTATATTATTATTATAACTTGATGTAGAATTTCCACAAAATGTCTTATTGAGGTTATTTTTCCTTACATTGAATGACGTTCACTTGGTATTTGATGTAGACATATATTTTACCAAGCGTACAGCATGCTTCAAAAAATCCTATGAACACCACACACGGAAACCATCAGCGTCAGTTGCCATAAGGACCATGGCGCTCCGTTTGGATTAGGATTATAATAATGTGGTTTTTCTTAGTAAGGGTCTGGCGTACTATCCCGCCATACCAGGTCCGAGGATTGGAAGATACGATGATTTTATATCTTTAAAAAAATATTATCTTCGGCTTTATACAACCAAAAAATACATGTACTTTTGCCATACACATAAAGAATAAATATGCTATTGCTGTACTCAAATAGATAGATATAATGATAGCTTGAACTAATTAAGCATTTGACTGATAACAAAAACTGTTGAATGCTAAACCTGCGCTAGCGTTTGACACAATTGTCTGACATGGCGTTAACGAAAGTGTTTTAAAATATTTGCCAAGAACTGGTTTTGTAACAAATAATTTCTTTTTATATCGGTAAACCTTCTTTTTTCTTTTGTTTCTTCCTTTTTCAAAACTTATTTCTTTTTATCCTACTTTCCTAGTTTATACATTTCTTGATATTTAACGCAAAAACTAATAACTAAATCCTAATGGAATTTCGCCCAGAGATAGAATATCGTCCGGAATGACACATACCTACATACATACATTGTATAATGGACACATATTTATAGGAATCACATGACTGATGGAACAATAATGTTCCAATTGGCTAGTTAAGATAACAAAACATAGCTGTCTACGTAAACAGTCGTGTGAAAAATGTAATGTGACTGTTTTACTATACACCCGTTGCTTGCTTGAACGCGGTCTCGGAAACTACTCCAGCGATTTTAATGAAATTTTGCCATTCATTTACACATCTACTAGCTTATACCTTAAATAAAATTTATGTTTATTATATCGAAATAACCATTTTTTTCTACATGCATGTATACATACAGTACCTACATGCTCAAATTTTTTTTACTATTTTGTCTGTCTGATTGTTTGTTCTGGTTAGTCTTTTCAATTTTATCGGTAGATGGCTGGTGTAATAAGAAGTGACTTCTTTAGGCTACTTTTATTTTAGAACAATTATTTTGTGATATGTACATTATTATCGTCGTATTATTATAATATAGTTTTCCGGGCGACAGCGATAATCAAATTTTACGCGGACGAAGTCGCTGGTA